ACTTATCTGCCACAATGTAGTTTTTCACTCATCTGGACTGTTAAAAGTGGGATTATAATTTATGCAGGAATGATTTTTTAGCCTTAAATATTAAGAATATGATTGGCAATACTCTCAAGTGGATTTTAGGATTTTAGCAGTTCATTTAAAGAGTCGTGAGTGTTTGGCAAGCTATCCTAGGTGGACTTACTAGGGGTAAAGTCCTCATTTTAGAAATTCTTTCAGACAAGTGATTCTTCATTGGCTTCTGGATTTTTATCTCCTGCAAAAGCCAGAGATAGTTATTTTGAACTTCAAAGTCTTCTAGAAATATAGGATCACCAAGCATTTAGCATGGTATGGAAACAATTTCTGCCAAGTCCATAATGTGAGCATTCTGTATGTTGAATGTGTAGTAACTGCTGTGGGAGGATTATTCTGGCTGCCTTCTGTTTTGTGCCTGAGTTTACCTGCTTTAATCATTTCAGGAGCACGAGTTATGTTCTTGATGATTTCTCAACTATTCTTCATTTCATTAAATCATCAATTTTTATGCCGTTAATATAGTTAGATTTCTCCTCGCCAAAGATTTATAAAACCTTTTTTCTCTACATTCCCACAAAGAGTTAAAAGAAAAATGCAACTTGGAGCATGGAAACAGGCAACTCGATGGGCCTTAGGATCACCAGAATAAGAATAGAAAATATTTTGACAAGATTCCTAAACTTCATGGTTAAATCTTTACAAAATCTATTACGCTGACTTCTATGATCTCTTGGGGATTTCTAGAAACAAGCTGTTGACATGTGGTTAATTTGAAACCTCGAAGTTTTGATTATAACTAACAAGTTGGTCTTATTTACTAACGAGTTGATTTCAAGTGATTATAGTCTTTCAAACGTGTACAAAGAAAAATTGATCAAGAGTCATCAAAAGACTAAAAGCTATCATCACAAATTGGACTTTTGAAAGAAGTCAAGATCGAAACCACATTCAAGATATTAAGAGTCAAACTTCGAAGCAAGATCAAATA